TAAAACTTGTCCTTAATGATCTAATATCTCCTACCCAATCTGCATTTGTTCCCAAACGCCTCATCTCGGACAACATCCTTGTGGCTTATGAGATAAATCACTTTATAAAACTCATCTCTAGTAAGAGAACCAATTATATGGCTCTTAAGTTAGACATTAGTAAGGCATACGGTCGTATTGAATGGTGTTTTCTTAAAAAGATTTTATTACGGTTTGGTTTACCAACTGGTTTTGTGGATCTTATCATGCTATATGTCTCATCAGTCTCATTTTCATTTTTTTTAATGGTTCGCAGTTTGGCTCTGTACACCCGTCACGTGGACTCCGGCAAGGAGACCCCATGTATCCATATATGTTTATATGTTGTACAGAAGCACTAATTGCTATGATTTCTCGGGCTACGGATCGTGGTGATTTTTAGGGTGTCCGTGTTGCGCCGACCGCCCCCATGATTTCAAGTTTATGCTTTGCGGATGACATCCTTATCTTTGGAAAAGCCACGGTGGAACATGCTTCAGTTTTAAAGGAAATTCTTTCAAAATACGCAAGGATCTCGGGGCAAGAGATCAATAACGACAAATTCACCATGTGTTTCAGCCGTGAAACTCCCTCGGAAACAATCGACTCCATCCACCGTATTCTTGGTTTTCGTGTCGTGGAGACGCACGATAAATACTTAGGCATGCCGGCGTCTGTTGGGAGGACAAAAAAGAAAATTTTTTCTTACCTCCGCGATCGAGTCTGGGGAAAAATTAAGGGGTGAGGTGAGAAACACATGTCCAGCGCCGGCAAGGAAGTCCTCATCAAGTCTGTCCTCCAAGCTATTCCCGCATATATCATGAGCTGGTTCTTGATTCCGACTGGCCTTGTTCTGGAAATTGAGAAGGCAATCCGGAGATTCTGGTGGGGCAATGGGTCGACAAAAGGAATGGCATGGGTAGCATGGAAGGATTTATGTAAATAAAAGGCACAAGGTGGACTTGGATTTCGGGATCTGCGAGCTTTCAACATGGCTTTGATTGTCAAACAAGCGTGGCGTATCCTTGCTCATTCAGACTTACTCATGTATCGTATCATGTCGGCCCGATACTTCCCAAACAAGAACCTCCTTTTGGCTGGGATTGGCTCCAATCCATCGACAACTTGGAGGTATATTCAAAAAGCAATCCCATATTTTTAAAGATGGGCATCAGACGACGTATTGGCAATGGCCATAACACTTCCATTGGGGCCGACCCGTGGCTGCGTGATGATGGAAATTCTAAGGTTCTCACAAGGCGGTATATCTCCTCGTCCTTCCTGGATCGAGTTTCGGATCTACTTGAACCTGGATCAAACTCATGGAATCTAGATCTTGTTCACTACACCTTTTGGCCGGTGGACGTGGTGAGGGTCCTCGGGGTTGCGGTGGGGGGTCCCCACACGACCGACATTTGGTGTTGGCACTACTCGAACCAAGGGAGATATACGGTAAAGTCTGGCTATCATATGATTCTCAATTCTCCACTGTCTTCGAACAATCGCAGCAAGGTCGAACATGGATCGGGAAGCGGAGGTGCTAATCGTAATTGGAATCTTGTTTGGAAGTTGCCGCTGCCACAAAAAATAAAGTTATTTCTATGGCGTTTGTGATCCCTACGAATTCGGAACTCTTTCGTCGAAAGGTGATTAGGTCTCCATTATGCTCGCGATGTAATGCAGAGGAAGAAATGATCATGCACGTCGTGACAACTTGCAAGGGTATGGACACGGTCTGGACAACTCCACCTTTTGGCCTCGGACATCGATCGAGCTTAACATCTCCATGGGAATTGCTGCTGCACTGGAAAGAGACGTGGGACGAAGAGAGTCTTCTTTTGACGTCGATTATCGCCCGGAAAGTGTGGGACTGCCGGAATATAGAGATGAAGAACGAAGAGGTGATTAAAACAGAAGACTTGGTCAGCTGGTGCAAGAGCTATTTGGCGAACTTTAGAAGCGCCCAACTCCAACCGAACCCCAACCTAGGCCAAGCTCACCTAACAGAATGGCAACCGGAATTAGGAGGGATTAAAATTAATTTTGATGTTGTTGTTCGGCAGGGAACATCTGCTTTCTCGGTAGCTTGTGTTGCAAGAAATCATGAAGGAAGATACCTCGCTTGAAAAGTGAAGAGGTGCAATGGCAAACTACAACCTGTTTAAGGCGAAGCTTTGGCGGCTCTCCAGACTAGGGGTGTGAACGAGCCGAGCTCGAGCCGAGCTCGCCCCTTTTGGCTGGCTCGAGCTCGAGCTCGAGTCTATTTTGTCGAGCTCGAGCTCGTCGAGTTCTTCTTTTTTTGGCTCGAGCTCGAGCTCGTGTTAATTTTGTCGAGCTCGAGCTCGAGCCCAATCTCCTTTTTTTTTTTTTTAAATAATTTTTAATTATTATTTTATTATTAAGAATTATTTTAAAAAAATACAAAATAAAAACTAAATTGTGATTATATATTTTTTTAATATTTGTATTTATTTATATAATATTTTATATTTTATACATTATTTAAATAAAAATAACATATAAAAAAATAAAAAAAATAAAAAAAATAATAATAAATCCGGCTCGCGAGCCGATGAACAACTAAAATCCGGCTCGAGCTCGGCTCGTCAGAAAGCTCGAGCTCGCGAGCTCGAGCTCGAGCTCGAAAACCTCGAGTCCGAGTCCGAGCTTTTTACGAGCCGGCTCGTCGAGCTCTCGAGTCGGCTCGGCTCGTTTACCACCCCTACTCCAGACTGTCTTGCTAGCCAAAGCAAACGGATGGGCTGGCATTAGCTTGGAAGGAGACTGTCTCCTTGTGATTAAAGCTCTTTGTGCAGGAAATGGAGAGACTCTCCATTACGGAGCCATTATTGAAGAATGCCTTTTTCTTTGTCAAAACTTTTCTAGTTGTAAGTTCACTTTGTTAAACGGGAGGGCAATCATTTAGCCCATAATCTTGGTCATTTGCTTTGCTCCGATACTTTGGAAGGCTTTGAGCTTCCTGTTACTATGGCTTCATCAGCCCAATAAAAACTTTATGTTCTTTTCGAAAAAAGAAATATTTCTAAAAAACAGAAATTGGAATATTAGATATTAGAATGAAGATACGTGTTCAAAATTAGATGGAAAACATCTGATCAAAATTAGCGTAATTCGAAAAATCCGTTCTAACTTGCACAAAAACGTACGCGATAATGTGTCATTGTGTATAAATCTATAGTAGAAATCTATACAGTACAGTATTACAGTGTATCTAAACAAGTATAGATTTGGAGAAGTATTGATTGAGATAACATGGCATATGCAGAATTGCCTGATAGGAATCATAATATCCTTTTTCTACTTTATTAATAAAAAAGTGGCTCAATAATTATGAGCTAATAGCATAGACCACCCTCTGTAATTTTGAATTGCCATAAAACACCCTGTGTTAAAATAATTAGCAAATACCTCCCCATAATCTATTTTATATAGCACACAGCCACTTTCATCAAATTTGGATGTTGACTTCAATGAAAGGACAAAACTACCCCTAATTCTTTCTTTAATAATATTTCAACTTAACAAATAAACAAAGATAAATGTAAATTATATGCATTAAAAAAAATTGACAGCATCTTCTTCCCATAGCCAACCCCCCACGGCCCCACCCCCTCCCCAACTAAAATTCTTTACCAAACATTTGCCGTCGCAGCACCACCACATCGATCCCCCAACCCCGCCACCCCAATTCTTCCTCCCCATCAGCACTGTGCCGGCGCGACTACACCAACGGTACCACATCGTAACGCGTCGATTTTGATTTCTCCTAAACGGAAAAGTCGGCAAAAAAATAAAAATTAAAAAACCCAATTTAAATATCTCCAAAGCCCTTCGCCGGAGGATTATTGGGGCGAGTTTTGCTTCGATTTTTTCGAATCTGTATCCATCTAATGGGAATTTGGATCCTAATGTATTGTGAAGGAAGCACAAAGAGTTGTTGGTTTTCTTATGGGGGCATTTATGGGGTGAGGTGAATGGAGATACAGTGGAAGGGGCAATCCTAGACAGCAGGGGAAATGGTAAGGGGGCGGCGTAGCGAAGGTGATGGGTCATATGGGAGTGCTGGGTTTAACATTACAGTGGTGGTTTGAGATGTAGTGAAGAAGAGGGCTTTTCATAAACTATGAGGGACTGAAGTGATAATTTGGAAAACTTTGTTTTGGGCTTATAGGAATTTTGGGGGTGGATTTGTAGTTTTTTAAATTTCTAGAAGGGTATTTAAGTCTTTGCCGGTCAAAAATTACAACCTACTCTCACAACCCGCGGGTGCCATACACAATAAGCAGTTAGGGATTTTATTAGCTTTGACAAATTTTCATAGGGGAGTTTTTGCTAATATTTTTAACACGGGGACTTTTTTAGCAATTAAAGATTACACAGGGGTGGTTCTTGCAAAAAACCCCAATAATTATAACTAAAATATATTAGTCAACCAAAGGCCATGAAAACGTGAAAAATGAGAACGCGGCTTATGGCAAGACAGCCCTTGAAAAACAACCCCAACTATTAAGTATTAACTATATATACATAATAATATCAATCAACACAAGAACCCAAACCACATTTAATAATATTATATTAACCACCACGAAATTTGTTTGTTCTAAAATCCAAATCGAAGTGAGCAGCATAGAGAATAGAGTTATCTTGTTGTTGATTAGCAGCTCTGCCGTTTTTGTGGCTGTTATTATTAAATTGCCAGAAGCCACAGAAAGAAAGAAAGAGGAGAGAGAGAGCCGTATTGAAAAGAAACATACATATATTATAGTCTAGAGAGAGAGATATATTAGAGAGAGAGAGAGAGCAGAAGGTGCCAAATGTTTGGTATGTGTGTGGTATGGAGGTGAATACTGTTAACTGAAATCTAGTAATTGGGCCTACTCCAATCCGACCAATGCGCTCATCTACCGCCAATCTCTAACATCCTTATCCTCTCCTCATTGCAATACTTTGCTCTTTTTTTTTCTCTCTCTCTCTCTCTCTACACTATCCCCTTTTACATTTGGCATTTGGGGTGGTAGTAGAGTGAGTAGCAAGGGTTTATCGGCGTGCTCCAAGGCTGAATCTTTATCCGATTGTATCGAGGGTTTATAATTAATTATGGCTCTGATTGGCGCTTTGGTTGAGATTTTAGAAAAACCGAGTGTTGTAGATGTGATGATTGAGCTGATTGTTTTTATGGCTCCCATTTGGATATCTGTTTTTATTGGTGTTTTGGTTGGTTGGGCATGGAAACCTAATTGGGCTAGTTCTTCAAATAAATCTGTGTCTCTCTTTCCCCATTTTGCTTCTTCTGTCTCAAATTTGAGCTCCTTCAAAGTTCAATTCCCCGCCTGCATTCCTTGGGTTTCCGATTCTCCCTTGCCTCCTGTTTCTTCCGCTCCTCATTACAGGTACAATGCTTTTCACTTTTAACTAAATTTCTAATGTTTGTTTATATTGTTCAATAAGTCATATTTTAGTTTAATTGAGTCTTTTTATGATCATCAGCTTGTCAGAGTTGGAGAAGGAGAAATCGAGTGTTGTGAATGACGAAGATCTAATACATTTGCACAAATTAGTCGAAGAAAAAGACGGTGGCCCTGCTTGGATTAAGATGATGGATAGGTCTACTCCAAATATGAGTTATCAAGCTTGGAGAAGAGATCCTGAGGTATCTATATTTCATTCATTATTCTCATCTTATTTACATGGATGGTACTACTTCTTCATTCATCTAATTCATTTACGTGTTTTGCGAAAAAAAACAAAAATTGGCTTTCTCTCGATATACAGACCGGACCTCCACAATATCGTAGTAGGACCATATATGAAGATGCCACACCTGAAACATTGAGGGACTTCTTTTGGGACGATGAATTTCGTGCAGAATGGGATGATATGCTTATTAAGGCTAAAACCCTTAATGAGTGTCGCTCCACTGGTACAATGCTCGTTCAGTGGGTACGCAAGGTATTACTAAATTCCCGGTTTTTTTTGTGTTTTTTTTTTTGTTTGAAATTTGATACTTTGTTGTTATGGTGGTGGTGGTGAATGTGATGGCATGATATTATTTTGACTGGATTGTTTTGTTATTGTGGTGCAGTTTCCATTCTTTTGTAGTGACAGAGAATACATCATAGGCCGTCGTATTTGGGAATCTGGGAAGACATATTACTGTGTAACAAAGGTAAGAAAACAGACTCCGTATTTGCTATTTACGATTTCATTGTTACGAGAATGTCCTTTTATTGTGTATTACAATGGCATCTTTTAAGATTTATTATATCCACACACTTCAAAAAAAAAAAAAAAGATTTATTATATCCTCAGATGGTACTTCATAGTTGTACTTAATATAATACCTTTGAAGAACCGATTCTTCGATTATCTTTTGATAGGAGTACTCAAGTATTATAATGTTTGTGTGGAAATCGTGTCAAGTACATATTTATATTAATACATCTACCGACTCTAGTCAAGTTGATTAACATCATAAATAATATTCCATCTAAATATGTTGGCTGTTACATTATTTCTTATCAATACAAATTGCTTATTGTAATAGGGTGTGCCATGCTCTTCTGTGCCACGTCTCAACAAACCAAGACGGGTTGATTTATACTATTCGAGTTGGTTCATTCGTGCAGGTATAAACTTGTAACATTATGAATCCAACTCATAATAAATAATGTTATTTTTATATTAGGATTTAATTTTCATATCTAAACCTGTTTTTTTGTTCTTGGTTTGTTTCAGCGGAATCAAGGAGAGATGGAAGTCTAAGTGCATGTGAGGTGGTGCTGTTCCATCACGAAGATATGGGAATTCCATATGAAATAGCAAAACTCGGTATTCGTCAAGGAATGTGGGGTGCTGTCAAGAAAATCGATCCTGGTTTGCGTGCCTATCAGAGACACAGGGCATCGCCAATTGCGTGCCTATCTCCCAGTGCTCAAATGGCTCAAATTAACAGTAAAGTTAATATTGAGATTTTAGAAGAAGCAGAAGAATCACAAGACAAAAACACAAGCATCGTTTCACAAGAAGAAGAAACTCGTGATGATAAGCCAGCTGGAAAAGGCATACCGAAGATAATGGTTGTCGGTGGAGCTATTGCTCTTGCTTATACTCTTGATCGAGGCCTTTTGACTAAGGCTTTAATTTTTGGCGTTGCTAGACGATTTGCAAAAACGGGTCGGAGGTTATGACCCCCGCTACCGACAAGGCTTTTATTGCATCTGGGGGTGAAAAATCATGCTAAGGGCTCGGGTCCCGATTTGTAATTATCTTCCGTAATTCGGTCGAAGATCTCAAGTTCGATTAAGGAAACCACAGGCCGGAAAATCCGTTTTTTTTCTTTTCTCTCTGTTCGATCATCATTCGTTGTGATTGTCATTTGCAGTTTCATTTACTTGTATTGAATATGATATATAGACCAAATGGAGATAACTTGGTTCAGTTGCTTTCTTGATAACTCCAGCTGTCCTGTTTTCTTTATTCTGTTTGTTCTGTTTTGTTCCACATTTATTTTGTGGTCACAACTTTATGGGGGAAGATTTATGCTCATTAATAAGTGTTTAATAATTACACTTCGAACCGAAACTCTATTAAATTGGTGTGTTGCTATCGAACACATCAACACTAAGTGCCAGAAACTTCTTATTAATCACGGTGCAGATTGGGAGTTGGGACCAACAATTTTTTTTAATTTAGTGAAATATTAAATTATCGGATTAATAATTTAGCATGTTATCATCGAGTCGGGACCAAGAAAAGTTATTATTTAAGCGCGATTATTATTATTATTATTATTATTATTATTATTATTATTGCTTTACATACTCGGAATTTAAGATTTAAAAGGGAAAAAAAATGAATATATACAATCAATCAAGTATAGATGGTAAACCACCTTGCCCCATTCATTCCGTAACCAAAACCCTTCCCCCCCTTTACGTACGATCCCTCATTGCACCTCACTGTGCAAAACAAAATGGTGAACAACAATTTCACGAAGATCGTAAAACAACATTCCGGATGTTCAAAAGAAAAATTCAAAAAAAAAAAAAAAATCATTGGAGTTGGAGCTGGTGTAGATAGTTGAGTGGTGGAAATATGAGGTGGAATATCAAAAGAAACATTGGAAGAAGATTCTTCAAATGAAGGGAGAACAGTAGAAGAATCATCTTGAACACTGCTATAAGATTGAGAAGTAAAAGTAAAAATATCTTCATGTAAAACTACATCTCTAGGCACAAAAGTATCATGAAAATTATGATCCAACAGTTTATAACCCTTCATATTAATAGGGTAGTCAATAAAAACACATGGTTTAGCTCTTGGATTAAATTTTGATCTTCTTGCAGACTGAGAAGAGGTAATAGTAAGACAATAAAAAACTTTGAAAGCATGATAATCAACAGATTTAGTTTCATTGAAGTATAAAGAGAAAGGAGTTTTATTTTTGAAATTGTGTGCAGGAATTTTGTTGATAAAAAACATTGTTGTGAGCACACAGTCAATCCAAAATTTGATAGTGATGTCATGGTTCGCCGGAACGGAACGGGCAATGTGGATCCAACAAGAGAAATGTGGATTCACGGTCTGCAAAAATGAAACGAAAAGCCACTACGTCAAAGGATAGATCCACAGATGTTGATACGACTGATGATAGCGATAACACATGTGATGGAAATGATCAAGAAATTACTGCCAGAAATGAAGAATTACGTGGTGGTCAAGGACACAATGATAGTGGTGCGTCTTGGGCCCAAGGAAGGGAAATTTTTTATACCACTCAAGACACAGATCATGCATATCGTCCAGGGATTGAAGAACTACGATGTCATTTAGCGGGCTTGCAGAGGTTTCCTAGTGCGATATCGGAATGTGACGGCCATATGCAAGGTTTAAGCTTAGGAGGGAATGAAGGTTAACCTTGATACGGTTATGAATTGAGTAATGAGAATTTTGGCTCTCAAAATATGGGATATAATTACGGCAAAAATGTGTTTGCTTCCCAGGATAGATACCGATATCCATTGCCTTATGGTACAACTGGTGTTGAACAACGTTGATGATGTAAGGATCACCTTGATAGATTGATACGTAAACACGGGGTAGGTTTCTTGCACGCGAGCAGATGATCCAACCACGCAAAAAGGAAGACTTGAATATCCAACATGTAAAACCAAAGCACGTGAACTAAGTCGGGAGTTGATTCGCCGGAACCCCTCCGACGCTCAAGTCAGATGCTAGCACATAAAATAAGGTAGAGAACACAAGATCAATAGAACTCAAGAGATTTGTTAGAACGTACCTTTTTCAATGAGGTTGAGGTCTTATTTGTACTTAATTAATGATAAATTCATAATTAGAATATAAATATATTTAGACTTAGATTTAGAACTATAATTAGGTCTTTGAACTGATATTGTGAGCTCGAGTCCTCTCTCCGGTGGGCTATTGGGCCTCTAATTTTCAGCCCACATGACTGAATAACTAAATGGCTCATTGTATTGATAATTTATCCCATTTTAATGAAATAGTTAGTGGGCCCGATCCACTTAGGTGTATCAAACATGGTCACCAATATGGATATTCGGGCAATACTAATGGCATGCATGGTGATTATGAGGATTACTATAATCCGGCGCATAACTTATACCGCGAGTCTTTATCTAGTGGCATTGAATATGATTATGAGTCCTCCAGGAGCAGAAGTGCGAGATATAATGATCCCTATTATGCTTCTTCTGGCAGTAGTGAATAACGAGGATTTGTTTACTATTATCATAATCATAACGCATTTGCACACACCGATTCATCTCATGCATCAAATGAGCCACAATATGGACAGTTTGGGTCTCTTTTACTCAATAATTCTCAAGGAAAAAATCTTGAAAACTTTGAACCATCTCGGCATTCTACGTGGTATTAATATTGCTTGTAATTTCATAATGTTCTTCCAATATTGTTGTAACATTTATTTTTCAAATTGTAATAATATTTTGCATATTATTGTATTGTAATGTTGTTAGTTAAAATATATTGTATTGTTTAGCAATTAAATTAAAATGTGTCCGTTCCGGCCGCGACACAGCCGCGACGTTGCAACGGAACTGAAACGGCAGTGTCCGCGATAATGCATTGTTCCATTCCGGCAAACCATAGTTGGTGGTGGTTGAATTGAACCCCCTCCCCCTGCACTTGCACTGCACAAGAAAAAAATTTAAAACAAAGAAATACCCATATTCTCTACATAAATACATATGCATGAATATGTCTTTTCTTCCATACATTCAATTAATCTCTCTTTCTCCGATATATAGATACAGTTTATATATTGTCATCATCGTATGTCACCACATGACTTACTAGTTTTACTATAAACTATTTGCTATAAAAAATGTGACAATTTTCTCTTTCTTAAAATAAAATTCCACAAGGCTACTTTACTTGGTGTTAGGGTTGGCTTCTCCAACCCTGACTTTTTACGTTATATTTCTCACTTCGTTAATTTATCATTAACATTACACTATAGTTTGACAAATAAAACTTTTTCTTCGTTGAAATTACGAAGCGTCAGTACTTAACACGATTTTTTTTTTTTTTGATGCCAGTGGCGGATCCAGGACAAAAATTCAGAGTATGCCGGCTGTGCCGAGTCCAAGAATTTACTGTACAGTGGGGTTAAATTTTCGGGGTTCGGGGGCAGCGCCCCCGGAAAAAAAATTTGAACATTTTTTTGTTGGATAAATTAGGAGAAGGAAAAAAAAAATTGAAACTTTTTTTTTTGTTTGTATAAATTAGGAGAAGAAAAAATTTGGGACTTTTTTTGTATATATTGAATTTTGGGTGGACTAAATAATAATATAGATATAATATAATGTGTTTTGGGGGAGAGGGGCTAAAAAAATATGAAAAAAATTAGGACTTTTTTTGTATATTTTGAATTTTGGGTGGAGTAAATAATAATATAGATATAATATAATGTGTTTTTGGGGAGAGGGGCTAAAAAAAAAAGAAAAAAGTTAGGACTTTTTTTGTATATTTTGAATTTTGGGTAGACTAAATAGTAACATAGATATAGTATAATGTGTTTATGGGAGAGGGACTCAAAAAAAATTTAGAAAAAAAATAAATTAAACAATATTTTTTTGTACTACAGTCGAACTCATGAACTCATCTAACAACTTAGAGATCTTTACCACTAAGGCAAATTTATTTTCATTATTTGGGGTGGTCCATGGCATACTTGGCCACCCCTAGATCAGCCCCTGTTTGGTGCTAATACAATATTTAAAAAAAAGAAACGATGGAGTAATTGTTGTTACTTATTTATAAAAGCAATGTAAAATTCACACAAATGTATGTATTTACTTTTTTTTTTATTATTATTATTACTATAAAAATGGCATATATATAATTGTGATAAAGCTAGTGGAACCATTCGCTCGGATTACCCCCAAGGTAGCAAAAACAAAATTAAAAATGAACGTAAATAATTAAAAACAATTTTGCATTTATTATTAGTAGCTTTATTAAGCCACGCTAAGGTGCCAGCCAACCTCTCTCAACTCTCAAGTCTGAACATCGTCGTCGTCGTCACCCATTCTTATTAAATATGCATTAAGTAAAATTCATGATTTCATGATTTACTTTTAGGGGAAATGAGGGATAACCCCCTAGTTTTGAAAATATATAGGGAAAGGTCCTAAGGATTTTTCTTTGCTAGTCAAAAACCCAAATTTTAATCTTAATTTGATAGACCCCCCTAGACAAATTGAAATACCAGTTTTACCCTTTTAGTTACAATTTAAAACCCTAAATTTCACCAACTCTCCTTAATTTCTCTCTCCCTTCTCATGGCCGTTTTCTTTTCTCTCTCCCTCTCCCACGTTTCTCTTCTCTCTCTCTCTCAAAATTCTTGTTCTCTTCTCTCTCACCTCCCACCGTCGCTTCTCCGCTTTCCCGCCTTCTTCGTCGCTCCGCTTCTCCGTCGCTCCGCCTTCTCCGTCACTTCGTCTTCTCCGCTGCTCTGGCGCTATTCCGTGCTCCGTCGTGCTCCGTTGCTCCGTGGTGCTGCCGTGCTCCGTCGTGCTCCGTCGTTGCTGCCGTGCTCCGTCGTTGCTCCTCCCACCGTCTTGAACTCGGTATTAATTCACTTCACTTTTTTTAAGTTATTTTTTTAATTTATGAATGTCAATCCATTTTTAATTTATTTTTCGAAGATCTGAATTCTTATCACTATTTCACCTTATTTTATTATTTTTTTTATGAAACAAACTGAATTCGAAAATTTGAAATTGTGTCAGATCTAATGGTGAATTTTAGATCTGGAATTGGTGGTTTTCGATTCGTATATATTTACTGTATTTATTTAAAAAAAATCAGATCTACTATGTTTTTGAAGATCTATGAACAATTAATATTAAAATATTTTTCTTTGGATTCATTTGATTTTTTTATTAT